TCCTGCTGTCTGTGAGTACAACAGTTTAAAACCCAAAGCGCTGTATGAGGTGAAAGGGGCCTGTCCAGCACCGAGTGTGGTTATACACTCAGGAACAATCACGGCCGTAACGACTTCGTCAGCCTCCGAGCACCACCAAAGACTTTATAAGCATTTCCCTTTCATCAAAGCTCAGCCTGTGCGTGAGGCTACAGCAGGATCACAGCTACAGCACACGACACCGGCAAATCCTACTCACTGCATGCAAACACAGGTTTGGATCGCAAGAAAATTATACACGTCCTTGTTAAAATAAGCTGAGCAGGAGCCACTGAGCAGCCCAACGCCCACATCACAACCCTCTGGAGGTGAATCTAAGTTCGGGAGAGAATTGAAGAGGTTGGCATATTTTTCCATCCTTGCTGATGCACCCTCATTCTTGGCCCGTGTAACTGGATAGTTGGAGAGTTTTACCACCACGGCTACAGTGCTCTCCGCTTCCCCAGGTAACACAAATATCCCCACACAGCACGGCACAGCACTAACTGCTCATTCGCATTTTTGCATTGCACCCACTGTGACTTACAAAGAGCAAAACAGCTTCACCAGACTGAAACCAAAGCATGCAAACTGTTTCTTTCCCCATTTCCTTCTCCCTACTATTGCACTGGTCAAAAACGATTCTAGGAACAGTTCCCGTGACAGGAAAATCCAGGTTAAATAGGTAAGAAAAAATATTTATAACTAAGCTCAAGGACTTATTGCAAAAAAATCTGTCTTTCTGCCGCAAGTCCTGCAGCTTGTGTATCCCTCTTTTTCTCCTTCTCATTCACCAACACAATACTAACCATAGCTGAAAAAAACAAATAGAAACATAGAGATATAAATCAAATGGAATAAAACTTTTAAAAATTAACACATTCAACACATTCAAAGCAGACCTCAAGAGTGTATTTTGAGTAAACATTGTCTGTTAAGCTTGCTTGGGTGCATAAAGCTACACAGTTCAGGATTAATAATATGAAGATTACTTAGTCTATAAAAAATTAAAAGTTCAAGCTACAAGCATGTATCTATCCTATTGTGCATAAGTGAATATAGTCTACTTCCTTTAGTCTCACCTGGCTATTACTTAGTTCAGACTTACTATTTAGTAGCACTTCAAGTGTCCTGTTGCACATAAACAGAACTGACATCGTAAGTTACTCTTTGAGTCAACAGTACTTTTGAGAGATCTTGTAAACTCAGGACAGTATATTCTCTTTTAAGGATGTAACAAGTTCAACTGACAGTGCCCTTTCCTGATCAGAAATTCTAACGCTGTTCTAAAAAGATTGTCTGTCAATTTATTTCTCCCAGAGATCTCAAAATTAATAAATATATTTTAAAGCTACCTGTTGAGGCAGCCAGACTTCAGCTGCAAGGGTAAATTCACTCAGCATGACCTCTCATTGCTTCTGCAGCATCTTCAGAAAGAGACAGTTCATGCAGCAGATGATGTGCCTACAGAGGAGCGATTTTCTCTTTTTTCCCTTGCCAGTCCAAAATATTCCAGCTGTACATGAAGGCTCGTTGCCAGCCTGGGGGGTTATTTCTTATTGAGGCATTGCCCTTCAATATTCAGCGCCTAATTGCATTAGCTCAACTTCTTTACAAGTGTTTATCCATCCCTTAAAATCTTCCTTAGCTTCTCGCTGTCCTCTTGTTATTTCAACACACAGAAGTGAACGGGACAACTCCAGCACACCAAAGCCACAGAAAGGATGGCAGCCTTTTTCACCAACCTAGCCAGATCTGGAGGTACCTACCAACACAAGAACTTCTAATTCAGAGCACTGCTCGCAAAAGTTAAATTTGATGGGGGAAAAAAAAAAAAAAAGCCAAAAAAAAAGCCAAACCCAGCCACATGTCCTCTCCGAGCAGCTACTTTTTTTTCTGTTCAGTCTATGTTTGGTGCTAAGATGGACCAGGCTTTCTGTAGCCAACAATCTTCTGCCTGTAAGCAGTACTTTGTAACGCAAACACCAAATATCGGAGCAATGCAGTCTACTCACTTTCAAGCCTAACACTAGTCTTCCCAAATACTTCTGCCAAGCTTCTGCCTTGAAGTAACCGCTTCCAGATTCCTCTTCCTGCAGATTTCCTAACTTCGTTACTTACCGGCTTCTACTGCTAAAGCTTGTTTTGCTTCCTGCATCTGTTCTTTCTGTGCCTTTGTCCATGGTACTTCCTTTAGATTTTTTAAAGCAGCCTATCAACATAGCATCTTCCAGAGCTGTATTAACACCACTTGCATTTTTGTAACTCTTACGACCAGAGAACACAAAGTGGACTATAAATTCCAACAACTGTGGCCTTATAATGTCATGCTTATAGCTATCCCAAGATTTTACTGATGCTGCTCAGGAAAAGCTTTAAAATCTCTCTGAAAACCACTGATACTTCCAGGAAATAGGTTTACTATCCTGCTTACTTATCTTTGGTGACTGAGAACGATATCATCTGCTTTACAAAATTTTAAATTACATAATGAATGTGATATTCAAATCCAAGACAAAAGTCTGATGGTCTCACTGCAACTATATTATAACTCCATAAACATTACACCATTTTGAATTTTCTCTTAAAATTGTGCTCATTTTCATGATCATGCTAACAACATGAGCATGCTAACAAGCTAACAACTGGTCTTTACGCTGATTTTTTTCTTCTCTTAAGGTTAGGGATCACATTAGGGATTCAAGTTCCATTTGCAGAACCTATACCTGTGGAAACACTTGCTTTTGCAGTATTTCAGATTTGTGCCATGCTACAGTAGTTAACAGCTCTTCAAAGTGCTGACAAATGACTTTTGTAATGATTAAAATAACCATGTTGCTCTTTCTGAAATGTGATATTCTAACTTCATCTGATAGTAAAGGACCTTTCAAATGCAAAGCAATGAATAAAGTCACCACCAGCTTCCCGACTGTCCTGGATTTCCCTCTACTACCAACACTTTTCATGTTGCATGGGCCAGTCTCTGAGATCCAAAGCAACAAGACAGCAGCAAGAAGTTTTTATCTGAGAAACAGAACCTGCTTTCAGTCGGGAATCAACAGGCAGTGCAGGGATATGCAGTTTTCCAAATGACTTTATACACACACGGCAAACAGCAGCAGAGGAAATTCCTGATTTGCCACCAGAGCCAACTGATGCATAGACCTACTTCAGGACAGCCCTGCATCACCTTGGGCTACACCTAAAAGTGAAGGTTAGAATATGGTTCATAGTAAAGTTAACAGCAAAACCATCCCCTAGCAACTAATAGATGAGGACTTCAATTACAGCAGTTATCACGAGCTCCTACTGATTCACTGACTACAGTTGGACACCAGGACAAGTTGTCTGGGAAGCTGCCTTGGCTGTCCTGCCAGGTGTTGCTGCAGTGCCCCAAGTGTGTGATTCGCCAAGTTTTCTAGAGCTCCTCAATCGACATTCATTCATTAGCGAATACAATGAGCTGATACATTTAAAAAATTAACTTGGTGTCCCAATATTTCAATGAATCCACAAAAGTAAAGTCAAGGAAAAACAGAGGACAAAGCTAGATAAGTCCTCAACATCTCCAAATGGTGCAATGAAGTTGGCAGCAGAGTCAAAATCTCCAGGGGTTCACTGTACCAGATGCAAGAAGTCTGAGGTTGCTGTGGCTGATAATGACAGCTCCTGCCTTATTCACATAGGTAAAGCCTCTAATACTTAATCATCTGCAATTCAAAATGAATAAAAAAAACCCCCATGCCTCCAAAAGCTCAGGTTCTGTTTCATTGTTTTTAAATTAACAGCAAAAAGCAAAATGATGCTCTTCACATTTTTATACTTAATTCCTTGCATCTGTCTCCTCCACCTTCAGACTGAAGAAATCACCCCTTATTTTTAGCTATAGCCTGCAGAGTCACTGACAAGCTTCCGCTCCTTTTCTGGACTTCCAGAAGGAAGAAAGATCACAGGAGCAAGGCAATGCAATCAGTCACACCAGGACAGTTTCTTGATCCTTTGAAAGTGACAAATGGCTAGGATCCTACCTAGAATCTGACATCTGCCACAAGCCCATAATATGATTTGGCTTGTGGAGATGTTGCGAGCGCAAGTGAGATTCGTTACTTGCTCCTACACCAACCTATGAGGTAACACAAGATTTCACTTCTATCTCCTGATGCAAAGTCAAAACGCAGTCAGTGCTCTTGCCAATACAGAAGGGAGCTGGACTGCTCAGACCTGGGAGGGGACATGTGCCTGGGCTGTTCGTAAGGTCCAAAACCTCATTCACTGAATTTCTTGCTTACCTGATCTTTATAACAATTTAAATGTAAGGAGTCAGCTCTTCATTTTAACAAAACGCACAATGTATCATACTGCCAGCATCAGCTAATACAGTTGTTCTAAGGACCGGCTTCTGAAAAGGTTTCTTTGTAAGTGCTTGATTTCCTGAGATCACTTTTCAGTCATAATCCAGCTATCAAACCACCCTGTAAGGTGACACCCCTGGCCAAGCTTCTGCCTTGAAGTAACCGCTTCCAGATTCCTCTTCCTGCAGATTTCCTAACTTCGTTACTTACCGGCTTCTACTGCTAAAGCTTGTTTTGCTTCCTGCATCTGTTCTTTCTGTGCCTTTGTCCATGGTACTTCCTTTAGATTTTTTAAAGCAGCCTATCAACATAGCATCTTCCAGAGCTGTATTAACACCACTTGCATTTTTGTAACTCTTACGACCAGAGAACACAAAGTGGACTATAAATTCCAACAACTGTGGCCTTATAATGTCATGCTTATAGCTATCCCAAGATTTTACTGATGCTGCTCAGGAAAAGCTTTAAAATCTCTCTGAAAACCACTGATACTTCCAGGAAATAGGTTTACTATCCTGCTTACTTATCTTTGGTGACTGAGAACGATATCATCTGCTTTACAAAATTTTAAATTACATAATGAATGTGATATTCAAATCCAAGACAAAAGTCTGATGGTCTCACTGCAACTATATTATAACTCCATAAACATTACACCATTTTGAATTTTCTCTTAAAATTGTGCTCATTTTCATGATCATGCTAACAACATGAGCATGCTAACAAGCTAACAACTGGTCTTTACGCTGATTTTTTTCTTCTCTTAAGGTTAGGGATCACATTAGGGATTCAAGTTCCATTTGCAGAACCTATACCTGTGGAAACACTTGCTTTTGCAGTATTTCAGATTTGTGCCATGCTACAGTAGTTAACAGCTCTTCAAAGTGCTGACAAATGACTTTTGTAATGATTAAAATAACCATGTTGCTCTTTCTGAAATGTGATATTCTAACTTCATCTGATAGTAAAGGACCTTTCAAATGCAAAGCAATGAATAAAGTCACCACCAGCTTCCCGACTGTCCTGGATTTCCCTCTACTACCAACACTTTTCATGTTGCATGGGCCAGTCTCTGAGATCCAAAGCAACAAGACAGCAGCAAGAAGTTTTTATCTGAGAAACAGAACCTGCTTTCAGTCGGGAATCAACAGGCAGTGCAGGGATATGCAGTTTTCCAAATGACTTTATACACACACGGCAAACAGCAGCAGAGGAAATTCCTGATTTGCCACCAGAGCCAACTGATGCATAGACCTACTTCAGGACAGCCCTGCATCACCTTGGGCTACACCTAAAAGTGAAGGTTAGAATATGGTTCATAGTAAAGTTAACAGCAAAACCATCCCCTAGCAACTAATAGATGAGGACTTCAATTACAGCAGTTATCACGAGCTCCTACTGATTCACTGACTACAGTTGGACACCAGGACAAGTTGTCTGGGAAGCTGCCTTGGCTGTCCTGCCAGGTGTTGCTGCAGTGCCCCAAGTGTGTGATTCGCCAAGTTTTCTAGAGCTCCTCAATCGACATTCATTCATTAGCGAATACAATGAGCTGATACATTTAAAAAATTAACTTGGTGTCCCAATATTTCAATGAATCCACAAAAGTAAAGTCAAGGAAAAACAGAGGACAAAGCTAGATAAGTCCTCAACATCTCCAAATGGTGCAATGAAGTTGGCAGCAGAGTCAAAATCTCCAGGGGTTCACTGTACCAGATGCAAGAAGTCTGAGGTTGCTGTGGCTGATAATGACAGCTCCTGCCTTATTCACATAGGTAAAGCCTCTAATACTTAATCATCTGCAATTCAAAATGAATAAAAAAAACCCCCATGCCTCCAAAAGCTCAGGTTCTGTTTCATTGTTTTTAAATTAACAGCAAAAAGCAAAATGATGCTCTTCACATTTTTATACTTAATTCCTTGCATCTGTCTCCTCCACCTTCAGACTGAAGAAATCACCCCTTATTTTTAGCTATAGCCTGCAGAGTCACTGACAAGCTTCCGCTCCTTTTCTGGACTTCCAGAAGGAAGAAAGATCACAGGAGCAAGGCAATGCAATCAGTCACACCAGGACAGTTTCTTGATCCTTTGAAAGTGACAAATGGCTAGGATCCTACCTAGAATCTGACATCTGCCACAAGCCCATAATATGATTTGGCTTGTGGAGATGTTGCGAGCGCAAGTGAGATTCGTTACTTGCTCCTACACCAACCTATGAGGTAACACAAGATTTCACTTCTATCTCCTGATGCAAAGTCAAAACGCAGTCAGTGCTCTTGCCAATACAGAAGGGAGCTGGACTGCTCAGACCTGGGAGGGGACATGTGCCTGGGCTGTTCGTAAGGTCCAAAACCTCATTCACTGAATTTCTTGCTTACCTGATCTTTATAACAATTTAAATGTAAGGAGTCAGCTCTTCATTTTAACAAAACGCACAATGTATCATACTGCCAGCATCAGCTAATACAGTTGTTCTAAGGACCGGCTTCTGAAAAGGTTTCTTTGTAAGTGCTTGATTTCCTGAGATCACTTTTCAGTCATAATCCAGCTATCAAACCACCCTGTAAGGTGACACCCCTGAAGTATGACTACTTGGCTTAGAGGAAAGACCACTACCTGAAAGTTATTTCCTGACAGAGTAACCTCTTTTAGCTCTTTGTTTGCACATTACCAGAGAGGAAAACACCTGCAAAATTTGCTAAACTTGGTTTGGAGATACCAAAGCTAATCAATACAATGTTACTGCAAAACACAGAGTCCACATTCTACCTAAAACACATGTGCAAAAACCCATAAGAAGTCAGTATTACATAGCTGACTTTTGAGTGCAAAAATACCTCCCTCATCAATCCTTGCAAAAAAGTCAAAATGTCGGGCAAAAATAAAAATCCCTGTAAAATGAGTAAAATTCAGGTATTGTTTTGCTTCATAAGAAAAAGAAAAATGAGCCACACTGAGGACAGTCTTCCTCCAAATCACTAACTAGAAGGAAATCAAGTGGTGAAATTAAAATATTTTCCAATTACTAAATCTACAGAAAGTGTCAACACATTGAAACAATTAAACTGACTAAAAACCTTCCAGGAAGCTGCTAAGTCTCATATACTAGAGAACTGAGGAAAAGCAAAAGCTACTTGCACATGTCAAAATATCGAGGACTTCAAAATTGCCAAATCCTGTCAAATTTTCTTGACAGCTTGCACATACCACTTACTATTTAAGATCATGATAAAGCAGTAATAGGAATATTCACTGTTAATTCTTTCATACTCAATTAATATAAAATTGCTGGTGCTCCTTACATGAATAGAAACCCACAGAAAGCTTGCAGAAGCATTACTGCTCTCCCAAGTGATGTCAGAACAGGACGAGATTACCATTTGCTTATTTCCATAGAGAAAATGAAAAGCATCTTGTAGCCATTACATATTTACTTTATTTTACACGTACAAAGCTGTGTGCTCTAGTCATTTATTTTCCTTTGCACTGTGGGTGGAACACACAACCTTTGAATTAGATTACTTCAGTTTTCACAGCACTTGGAAAATACTTGTTACGATCCAAGTGGCTACGTGTTGCTATCAAGAAAACGTGGAACTTGAGTATTCTTTCCTGTGATGTCTGATCAGATATGCTAACAGCTTAACTCTCCACAGAAGTACATGAACTGGACTGCACTCCCATCCTTTAAGACCAGAAACTAAGCTTCAGCTCAGAACAATGAAAATATTCGTCCATTTAATTGTTATCTTTTAATGGCATTAATTCAAATATCTCAGATTATTCTGGGCAGATCCCTAGCACCGTGCTCAGGCATGTACTCTCATGAATGGTTCAGCTGTTTTATCCCTGCCCTGGAGAACCTTTCCTCTTTAACCTCAATTTGTAGGGTTTTCTTTTAGTGTATCAGGACAGGATACAACATTGGTTTAATAATTACCACTACAATTTTGATGTGAATTCTTTGTTGCCCCAGAAAAGGTGTTACTAAAAGCTTTTTAGAAGTATCTAATGTACTGAGAGAATTCTGTTTTACGGGGGTTTTTTTGCTTATATTCTTTTATTACTGAAGGCAAGACAAATAGCATTCATTGGTAGCTCATCTATACGTGTGCTCATTCCCTGAAGCCACACTCTGAGCCCCTTCTTTTTCTTACACTACTTCCAAAGCTACATAATAAGCAAGGAAAATAATGAAGCTGAACCCTTTCAATAAAGAAGCTGTTATTGTGAGAGAGAACATTTAGTGATGTTCACCACCTGCATTCATCCACACCCAAAGATTAAGAATGGATGTATGCAGCACATAATAGAAGTAAACCGCTGAAGAACAAGGAATGAAATTCTTGATGACTACCATTAGGAGACAGAACAAGTGACTTACTGGAACTGGACAGCAAGAGAGTGTATTTCTGTAAGATTGCAGTGTATTTTTAGATTTTTATATGCAACACAAGTTCTGGGAAATATCAGTATTTCTACAAGTTTGTGAATTCTCAAAAGACAAAATGCTTCTTCAATCTTGCCTAACAATTACTGTGAGCAACAGTAAAGCATAGATTCAATATTTGTCTTGTTTTGCTCTTTGATGCTATATATTCTTGAAGGGTAGTATAGAAAACACTTCAGTGTCTTATCTTAAGGGAAAAAGAAAGACCGACCTGAACTGCAAAGCAGAAGATAAAAGCCAACAACCACCAAGAAGTGAAAGAAACCCTGAGAGATAGGGAAGTAAAAGCCAAAAATGAGGGTTCTAATTGGCACTTGTTCAACTCCTAACCATCACGGGCATTTGCCAGTCATCAATACTTTGGAGGCAAAATAGTAAAACAAATGTTAAAAAAAAAAAACAATTAGTTTTATTCTAGTGTGCAGATTGTGTTCAAGTGGTTTTAGACCTGCAACTAATTAATAGCAACAGGAAGTTAAATTATTAGACAAAATTAAGAGATAAAACTTCCCATTAATATCCTGGTATTCCTTGCTTTCACAAACAGGCTTGCAGTTTGGTAACAGACAGGGCCAGCCAGATTAAAATAAAAATGGAGCTTGAGGCATTCTTAGGGGTTTTTTTTGTGTTATATAAAATCCTGTAATCTCAAACAAGAACATCAAATTCCCTCAGAGAAGTGATCATACTCGCTCCTCTTCACACATGGCATTGCAGTAGAGTTCTTCAAATGACTAGAATGGATTGCATAGTAAGATCAGTAAAAGACATCCCATAAAAACTGTGGTCATCTTGCTGGATGACACATATGACTCCTTGTCCCTTTAGTATTCTCTATCTCAGAAAGAGACAGCAAAATTAGTATCACCTCACTGAGCTACAGAAATTGTCCTGAACTTCCTTTACTGTCTGCGCACAAAAAAGATACTCTCACTGTCTTACCTAATCTTGAAAGCAGAGCACAGGCGTGTCATACATTGATTAAGAGAATTTTTAGAAAATCAATTTTTTTCCAAATGTGACAAATAAAAATATATGCGGTTAATATACTTCAGCATCTGTTTTCATATTACTGGGTCAAAAAAAAAATATCAGAATTGACAAATTTTTTCAGACACATATTGAATGCATTTCTTAGCCTAGATTGAACCAGACTATGTACTTGAGGAGAAAACAGTACCTGAAAGTGTCCTTCACCTGTTCCTTACCCTTTAATCTAAGTGTGCTTGTTTTAATTATCCTTGGCTCATTCCACCCAACTTGTGAATTAACATAGACCTTCAGATTATTAATAAATACTAGTATGACTTTTCCCTAAGGGATTTATGAAAAAATGTCTTCGCTTGAGAGGGCATTAAAATAAGGTAAAAGAATAAATTTATAAACTAGACTGCATGTGCATTACAGTCCAAACAGTCTGTAAATGAAAAATATTTGAAACTGAATCACCATAAGATGTATGTATATGAAACTTTCAGTGAATACTCAGATCCTCTGTGTCAATTCTTTGACAAAAATGATAGGGAGATCATAGAATTAATCAGTGAAAAAACAGAACTTTGCAGGAACGGAACCTAAATTAATAGAATGGGCCACCATCCACCCCACTGATCAACATGAAGGTGCTACAATGAGTGGCATACAATTAACCAGCTACACACTAAAAAGGCAGTACAACAAATCACAACCAGTTTCCAACAAAGTCAGCAACAAACTCACCTGAAGGCACTGGTACCATTACTAAGGCAACTGATACAATTATACCCTGAATTAATATATTAAAAGCAAGTCTTTTAGTAGGGGATGATGACTGGAATACATTAACATCAACAGTATTAATCGGGGTCTTGATCCATTATGCACTGTTCATCCATAATATAAAATTTTAAAACAAATATCCTTCTTAAACGGAAGATGCAGTAGCGTATTAGAGCATTCTAAGTATTTCTCAATCTTTTTATAATATATATTAAACATACACTTGACCAAGGAGTGGAACAAACGATTTGAAAATACTCAGCTCTGCCAGCAAAACATTTTTATCTACATCAGTAGATAAAGAAAAACTTGGAAAAAAAAATCATCCTGCTTCCCCATTAAATGCCAAGAATAAGAGCAAACTTTGCATGTAGGAGATGTAAAAAAAAAAAAAAAAAAATTATTTTTGCCATTGGTAAGTTTTTTAGTAGCAAACATATTTCACAATAATATTATATGCTAATTTTGCATTTCTGTCATGAGTTTTCAGCATTTTTTTGAAGCAACAGGTTAGCACATGAAATAAAAAGCCTAATTCCCTTTGAACAAAGACAGTCTTATAAAGCGTAACAACCCTTATAGGCACAAACATATCAACTGTGACAGAAAATTTACATTGTTATACAGCCCATACGAGGCTTCTCATAAGAGACCAGGCTTCATACAAATCAGACACTGTCATTATACAGCACTCCTCCAGATGTTTTCAAAACTTTGTCACATATGAGAGAGAGAGAGAGAGAGAGAGAGAGAGAGAGAGAGAGAGAGAGAGAGAGATGGACTCCGAAAAAATATAAGCAAAGGGAATTACAGAACAGTAAGAAACCATGATAAAACCCTTTCCTGAACTGTAAAATAATAGCAGTAACAAGGGAGAAAGAGAAAGGATGCTGGTTGTTTTTCCTTGAATGTTGTCACTTGCAACAGAAGTGGCCTGGATCACAGGGCAGTTTTCTTTCTAATGGCAAGGCTTCTCTACCTTGCTGTTGCTGGCTGGACATGACCAGGGTAAGATCTCCTTGTGCTCGTGGCTTGCCTTTGTCTAGCCAGGAAGGACTGTCCTGAGCCTGTACTAGCCAGTCTATCTTCTGCTGCTTTTTTATGCAGAGTCATCCCCTATGGACAAAGAGAAACTTGTCAGTGAACACCAACACGTAGCAGTGAACAATTTCACTCATTTACATTTTATTATTTCCTTTTTCATCAACATGAAGCTATTTTGAATTTCAAACACAAAGCATCAAGGATAAAGCTAAAATATTCTCCCTAATTCTTTGTGTGTTGTTGTTGTTTTCTTTTTAATTCCCCTCACAGAATCATTGTCTGGGTTTGGAGTAACTGTTGAGAAGCAGGTCTTCCAGTGCCCCAGATCTGAATGTACACTTCTCCACATAAACACACGGTAACTGGACAAGTCTTTTCAAAACTGTTTTTCTTCCCCACCCTGGCTGTCTTCAGCACTTGGAGCTAGAATTGTACTTTTCTGATGAAAGTAATTAAGGTATTGTCATCCTCTATGAAAATACCAGCTCACATGGCAGGAGCACATCTTGA